ATGATGATATTGATGATGACGATGATTGTGTGCCGATAATGATGATGTTGATGATGAGGATGATGATGAGGTGATGATGATTTTGATGTTGGTGGCCCAATGATGTTGATGATGATGATGGTAATGATGATGATGGTGACGATGATGATGGTGTTCCGATGATGATGATGTTGATGATGATGAGGATGATAATGATGATGATGATGAGGATGATGATGATGATGATGATGATGATGATGATGATGGTGTCCCGATGATGATGATGTTGATGGTGATGATCATGATCATGATGATGAGATGATGCTGGTGGTGATGATGATGGTGGTTTTTCCGATGATGATGATGATGGTGCCCCGATGATGAAGTTGTTGATGATGATGATGGTGACGATGATGATGTCCCGATGGTGATGGTGATGGTGATGATGATGATGCTGATGATGATGATGATGATGTTGATGATGATGGTGATGAGGTGATGATGATGGTGTGCCGATGATATTGATGATGCTGATGATGACGATGATGATGATGATGATGATGGTGATGATGATGATGGTGTTGATGACGATTATGATGTTGATGATGATGATGATGATGATGATGATGATGATGATGATGATGATGACGATGATGATGATGATGATGATGATGGTGATGACGTTGATTGTGATATCGATTGTGATACCGATAGTGAGATCGATAGTTAGACCGGCTGTGAGATCGATCGTGAGATCGAGCGTGAGATCGATAGTGAGATCGATTGTGAGACCGATCGTCAGATCGATTGTGAGATCGATCGATTGAAATAGATCGAGGGAGATCGATTGTGAGATCGATCGAGTGAGATCGATCGAACGAGACCGATAGTGAGATCGATAGTGAGATCGATAGTGAGACCGATCGAGTGAGGCGTTGGTTCCTCCCCCCCCGAACCTCCTTATCACCCGAAGGGTGGTCGTATAGGTAGGGCCAGGCCGCCTCGTCGCAGCCCCTGGCCGAGGACGTGCCCCAGGAAGCCGACTGGTCGACGGAGCGCTCCCACCTGGCGCAGTCCTTCTGGCGGATGCGCGACCAGATCCTGGGCAGCAGCGGCATGGGCCCGATTGGCCGCTGCACGCCGTCTGGTTTCGGCAGGGAGACCATGATGATGGTCCAGGGCTCGCCGCAGTGTGAGCTGTGCTCCCACGCGTTCAGCAGGCTGGCCATCCTGCTCAGCATGTCGTCGCCCGCCTCCAGGAGAAGGCGAGGGTGGAAGTTTTCCCGCGCCAGCCCTGCGTGTTTGGGAAACTTGCGCGAGGCCAGCTTGATGTCGCCCTCGATGATGGGCTGCAGTGACCAGCCGCAGACCTGCCAGGATGCCAGGTGCTCCTGGGCCTCGCGGCGGGGGTCGGCCGAGAGCGGGGGCCAGTCTGCCGGCGCCCTCTCCAGCGCTGGCTGGCCAACTAGCGCCAAGCCGGTCGCCCCAGCCTCGAGGATGGGCGCAGGCTCGCCATGGGTCTTCTTGGAGACCTCGTGGGCGATGGAGCCTTGGCGCTCGAAGGCCTCGTCGGTGAACTCCTCCCACTTGAGCTTGCTGGCCTTGGCGTCCTCCTTGGTACGGTTGCCCGCGATCTGCTCGATCGCGGCAAGGAGCTGGTCGCCCGCGTCTGATTGGTGGGCGATCTCGCCCCAGAAGCTGCCGAAGATCGTTCCGTCGAACATGGTCAGGTCCTGGGCCTGGAAGTCCGAGACCAGCCTCGGCGCCGCCTCGTGGAGCCGCTGCCCTCGCCTGGCCTTGTGGCTGCCTGGCCGGCCCCCAGGGCCGCGGCCCCGCCTGCGCTTGGCGAGGTGGCGCGGCGAAAGCCAGGGCTGTGCGGCAGGCGAGGCTCTGCCCATGCGGTTCGCCTGGGCCTTGGCCTCCGGCGGGGCAGGGGTCGCCCTGGGGCCCTTAAGGCCCTGCCCTTGCAGCGGGCCTCGCTGCCGGGCATGCCGCGGAGCGCCTGCAGGGACTCCTCGGCCCTCGGTCTGACCGAACCAGCCCTCGACCTGCCTCTCGGGGCCCGTGTCGGGCGGGGGCCACGGCAGCGCAGCTGCCGCCGCACCCCATCGGTCCCTGGCCTCTGCGTCGACGACGCCGAGCTCTAGCTCGAAGCACTTCGGCACCCGCTGGGTCTGGGCCGTGGGCCGCTTCCAGTAGCCTCGCAGCACGAGCGCGGCCGCCGTCCGGGGGCCGTTGGGCGTGTCCGCGCGGGCTGCGATGGAGCCGGTCATGTCCTCCAGCGCCGTGGAGATGACGAGGAAGTCGCACTCGTTGCGGTTGCAGGTGGCCGTGCCTGGCGCGACGTTTGCGCCGCCGACCAGCTCGGGCCAGCCCGAGTCGGAGGGCTCGCTGGCCTCGACGTTCCAGTCGACGCCGAGATGACAAATGGCTCGTCCAGGGGAGCGCACCGCTCGTGGAGGTCCTCGAGGAGCTGGCGGTTCGCCCCTTTGAGCCCGACGCCGTCCTCCAGGTGGATGGAGACCACGGTGATGGTGGTGCCCGCTCCGAGGGGTCGCCTGCGGGCAATGGCCCCGTGCTGCGCGCCTTTCCGCGGCCGATGGTGTCGGGCCGAGCCCGGCATGCGGGAGGAGATGATGCCCTTTCCTGATGGCACCGCCATGGCCGCCTCTCCCGTCCCGAGGACTCCCGAGCAGGCCAACTGCTGGCTGCGTCGGCCGGCTCAGCCGTGGGCTTGCTCCTCCACAGCGGGGGAAAGAGAAGCGCGTTTCCTGGGCCAACACGGTGTGCGGCTCGAGCCCTTTCTTGCTCATCCATCCATGGACGCTGGCGCCCGAGTTCCACGTGTTGCCGTTGTACGTGCAGTGGCGGAGGTCTTCGTCTAGCTTGACTGGGGCCAGCGCCGGCGGCCCTTGGTCGGGTAGGATCTGGGCGGCCAGCTGCAGCGAATGCCTCGCCGAAACTGGCTGTGCTGGTCCATCCGCGATGTTGGCGAAGAGGAAGGAGCGCTCCTTGCCTTGGTTGCGCTGTCCGCGCCTGTCCTCTGGCGTGCGCCGCTGGGGCTTTCCGAGGGGAAAGCTGTGGCGCCGCGACGAGTGGGGGCGCGCTCGCGCTGATTTCCGCGCCACCATTGGCCACGACGGGCTCGTGGGGCTGGTTGCCCCGCGCGAGTGCGCCCTCGACATCGGGCACAGTAGCCGCAGCATACTGCAAAGGATGAACATCAGGTGGCCGTACTTCATGATGTAGAAGGTCGGGGTCCTGGCTGGGGTCCGCGAAAGGGTCGCCCTCCTCCTCGTCCAGGCCGTAGTGCTCGCCGGCGCCGACTGCGGCGTCATGCCCCCTTGGGGCGTCCTCTGCCATGCTGAACATTGGGCGTCCCAGCAGCAGCACCGCCGCGGGGAGCCTCGGCAGAGCTCGCAGGAGGGGCGGCGCCTGTGCCTTTGGCCGCCTGGGCAGCGGCCAGCTCCTGGAACCCCACCTTGGCCGCGTGGGTGGCTGTGGCGGCGAGCTCGGCGGCGACCCGCTGGGTGTCCAACTGTTCCTGTTTGGGCGCAGCTGGAGCGGCAGGCGCCGCTGGGACCGCGGGCGCGCCCGCTGGGGGAGGAGGAGGAGGAGGAGGAGGAGGAGGAGGAGGAGGAGGAGGAGGACGAGGAGGAGGAGGAGGAGGAGGAGGAAGAGGAGGAGGAGGAGGAGGAGGAGGAGGAGGAGGAGGACGAGGAGGACCAGTGTAAACCCAAGAATCATCAACGATGTTGCAATTAACCCTCCCACCAAGCTCCCTCTTCATAGGCCCCTACGTCGGTTCATGTCCATTGAGGGAACTGCGTCGTTTGAAGACAACCGTTTGAGGATCCTGAAGCATGCCAAAACATTGCTATCGGGATTTCGACGCCACGGATCAACGTGACTGTCGCGTCTTGACGATCGCCAGAACGCGCCCTTTCTGGGACTTCAACACCGCGCATTGACATAATTGTTGCGCCCGATAACCCAGAATTTGTCCAGAACGCCATTTCTGGTACGTCGACCATGGGAACCCGTGCAACTTTTGAACTTTTTAATGCGACTGGGCGCGGCGCTGGGGCGAGAGCTACATTTTGAAAAGGAGCCACCCTCAATACGGGAAGCCCTTCCAAACTTTTAAAAATAATGTACGCGGCGCGATAGTGAGAGCCACATTTTGAAAAGGAACCGCCTTCAATCCGTGAAACTCTTGCAACTGTTTATAAGGAATGCGCGCGGCGCGAAAGCGAGAGCCACATTTTAACAACCACCTGCTTTCAATCCGTGCATCCCTTGCAACTGTTAAAAACAAATGTGCGCGGCGCTACGGCGAGAGCCATCTGTTGAAAAGGAACCGCCCTCACGGATACGCTCCTGCAAATTGTTAAAACGAATGTGCGCGGCGCTCAGGCGAGAACCACTTTTCGAAAACCACCTGCCTTCTATCAGTGCAACTCTTGCACATGTTCAAAACGAATGTTCGCGGCGCTACGGGGAGAACCATATTTTGAACATGAACCGCCCTCAATCCGCGAAGCTCCTGCAAATTGTTAAAACGAATTTGCGCGGCGCTCAGGCGAGAACCACTTTTTGAAAACCACCTGCCTTCAATCCGTGCAACTCTTGCAAATGTTTAAAACGAATGTTCGCGGCGCTACGGCGAAAACCATGTTTTGAAAATGAACCACCCTCAATTTGCGAAAGTCCTGCAAATTGTTAAAACGAATGTGCGCGGCGCTAAAAAGAAATCAACATTTTGAAAACGACCTATCCTCAGTCCGTGAAGCTGTTGTCATTTTTAAGCTTCAGAGTCGCAAGCGGTGGGGGAATCTCAAGCGAAACGCCCGGCCCGCCCCAAAAACTGGCCTCGGGGTGCGACAGGGAGAAGTTAGGTATAAGGAAAAGAAATGGAGCACCAGGAGCAGGAGGAGGAGGAGGAGGAGGAGGAGGAGGAGGAGGAGGAGGAGGAGGAGTAGGACGAGGAGGAGATCAGCGTGGCATGGCCGCACTCGCAGGCTATCGAGGCGGCATACGGCGCGGACTTCTCCCGTGTGCACGCGCTGCTGCAAAGGGTGGCACATCCCTTCGAGGAGGCCCTCCGGCCACGATCAAAGCGAGGGTGTGAGCGGGACAGGCTAGCGTGCGGGGTCTGGGGACTTCCCTTCCCTGCTGCTGCTGCTTCTGCTTTTCCTTCTTTCAGCTCGAAGCAGGAGGCCTCCTAGCCGACTTGGAGATTGGTTCAAGAACCAGGCGGTTCTCGCAAGGGCACAGTTTTCGGTCGCCTATGTACGGTGTGACGCCAACACCTGGACCTCGCCGTGATGCTCAGACATGTCGCCTTCTGTGGGCGGATCTGTGGTCTGGGGGTCAATGTTCAACGCAGCAGCGGATCCGCGTTGTCAGGGGTACGGGGGGGGCCATCTGGTGGTGGGATTCTGCCCACCAGTGGATCAGGCCGCACCCCGCGGAGGACGCAGAGGTCGATTTGGGCCAGAACTTCGAGGGGAATGCAACCGTGGCGGCGAGAAGCCCTCCAGAGACCCAAGCATGCGAACAACACTTTTTGGTCGGCGGGGCGAGAGCGAAAGCATGCGAACAACACGCAACGACAAAACAGACAGCACATAAACAGCACGAAGCAAAGACGCAAATGGTTGTCGTTTAAATGCGAGAAGAAGAGACGCACGGACATCTGGAGCCTCGACCCTCCCCCCTCCCCGCCCCCGGCGGCCCGCAGAGGCCACCGGGGCCCTGCCCAGGCACTGGCGGGGCCGCGAGCGGAGACCACCACGGGCGCTCCCGGCCCGTCTCGGGCGCCCCTCTGCGTGACGCTGGGGCCGAGAGCCATGCTTTTTATCTTTTCCTGGGGCCGAGAGCCATGCTTTTTCTTTACTCTGGCATTTTTTAAACGATATATATATATATATGTGTATATATATATATATCATTACTAACTGTTTATTCAGTATGTAATACTGGTTCCTTGAGAGTCTGTGATTACCCTCTGGGCCACAACGCGCCTTATGTCCCCCCCCCACTTCCCCCCCCTCTCTCCCCTGAATGTAGCGCTCGCCTCCCTCTCAGTGCGTGCCTGGCGCTGCCGCAGTGCGTCCTGCACCAGTCCGTCAGGGTGGGTGTGTGGGGCGTTACGTTAACGCCCGCTATCGCCGCGAATCAAGGAATTCTCTCTCAAGGGTATCAGCGACACGCTACCATTGGCAGACCGTCAGCGTGTTACTCCTTCGTTTTTGTCCGAAGGCCGTTTCGAAGCGACAGCGCCCGGCGTCCTTCTCCTCCTCCTCCTTCTCCTCCTCCTCCTCCTCCTCCTCCTTGTGCCACTGCCCCTCCTCCCTCTTCCCACCCCTGCCTCTGCTCTCCGCTTCGTGGCCCCAACCATCCTTTGGTGCTGGGCCAATCAGGAAGCAGGTCGGCCGTCCTGATGCTTCAAGACCTCGGTGCCGTTTCGGGTACACTGGGGCCACCTTGAACGATGACGATGAACAAAGAGCCTCTTAGGGCGCCTCTTGGGACACACTTAGGGCGCTGTTGGAGGCCGTTGGGGCCATCTTGGAGCCATTCTGGTTCTCTCTTGGGTCTCCCTGGAACGATCCTTGTGGAAGGTTCAGACGTCCATCGGAAGCGAAACGGCGAGAATACATTTCCCATTCAATAACCAATTTAATGATCTTGACCTGCGTTGGGCATCCTTCAGTGGCTCCCAGGCGTCTTGGAGCTTTCTTGTGGCGGTCTTGGTCTTGGGGTCTCCTGGAGGCATGCTAAAGGCCACCTATATTGGGCTATCTTCTGTCAGTTATCCCGGAAGCCATCGCGGCCTATCTGGGGCCACTCGGAGCCACCCAAGGCCATCTCGGACGCTCTAACTGGTCGCGGGGGCGGCCGTTTAATCTCAGGGGGAGGGGGGGAGGAGGGAGGAGGCAGGAGGGAGGATGAGGGAGGAGGAGGGAGGAGAGAGGAGGGAGGAGGGAGAGGGAGAGAAGAGAGAGGAGGAGGGAGGAGGAGGAGAGAGGGAGGAGGAGGAGGAGGAGGAGGAGGAGGAGGAGGAGGAGGAGGAGGAGGGGAGGAGGGAGGAGGAGGAGGTGAGGAGGAGGAGGAGGAGGAGGGCGAGGAGGAGGAGGAGGAGGATCAGGAGGAGGAGGAAGAGGAGGATCAGGAGGAGGAGACGGAGGAGGAGGAGGAGGAGGAGGAGGAGGAGGAGGAGGAGGAAGACGGGGTCATGAATCGAATTCCCACTGGGAACGCCACGAGCTGTCCCGCAGAGACTCCGCAGAGGCTGAGGTCGCACTTGGACGGGCAGCCGCCGGGTGCATACGCCTGGTGCGCGGCGCTCGCGGGGTGCGCCACGCGCGCCGGGCGCGCCGGGTGCCCCAGGTCAGCCACGCGAAGAGGGGTGGGGGGAGGGGGGGGCTCCTTAGAAGCACCCCTGCTTCTTAGAAGGCGCGGGCCTTATCTATAGATGGAAGGCCGGCGCCTTCTAAGAGGCAGCCTCCTTCAAAGGAGCCTTCCCCCCTCCCTTCACCCACTTGTGCGCGCGGGCAACCAGGGGCCCGCACGAGCGTGCCAGGCGTGCCAGGCGCGCCTGGTGCGCCAGCGTCAAGTCGGGCCAGTCCCTCTGCAGGGGGGATATGTTAAAAAATTGGCAGAAAATGCGGTGGGCACGATTTTCCGACTCTTTTTTGTCTATTCTGGAGTATTTGTTGGGTAGTTTTTATTTTTCGTTCACATTCCGCCTGTATAGGAGGACGTGCCCGACATAGCACAAGCGTGCCGGGCGTGCCAGGCGCGCCTGGTGCGCCCGCGCGACGCGCGCACAGTGCGCCAGCCGTGCCAGGGCACATATCTAGGCTTAAGTCGGGCGTGTCCCCCTACAGGAGGAAAATTCAAAGATTGTTAAAAAACTAGTCAGGGGACGATTCTTTTGAATTTGTTTTTGCCATTTTACATTTTTTGTAACTATTTTTTGTTTTTCGTCTAAAATCCGCCTGTAGGGGGACATGCCCGACCTAAATCTAGGCCTCCTAGATGGGTTCCGAGCAGATGGGGTCGGAGGATCGCGCCGCATCGCCGATGCATCGCCGATGCGACTCGATGTGGAGCCCGAGCTTCTCCACGCCGACGTCGGCGATGCATCGCCGACGTCCCCGATGCATCGCTGATGCATCGCCGATACATCGCCGATGCATCGGCGATGCGGCGCGATCCTCCGACTCCATCTACTTGGACCCCATCTAGCAGGGGTCTAGCCAGTGCGACGCGCGCAAAGTGCGCCAGCCGTGCCAGGGCACATCGCATCACACGCTGGGCAACATGTCGGCAGCCTCACCATCCCTGCCAAAAGCCGATGCATGCTGACAGCGGGGTGGCCAGTACGGTGCGTGATGTGTGCACCCGCGACGGGGCTGCATTTTTATTGCTCGGGATTGTTGGCTAGCGCGCAGCGGGTAACTATGTTCCCCCGCCTCCCCCCTGTCAACAGCCGCCGACCCCAGTCGCCCCGACGATCGTGCTCCCCTTGTTTGCTGGTTTCGAGATCCCCTCACAGATGTGCGCCGACCACGTGGAGCATGGACTGGCACATGAACTATCAGAGTCGTTGACATTTTTCATAAGGGATGGAGGGAAACGACTTCTAGGGTCTGCAGCTGCTCGCCAACTACCAGCCGCGGGACTGTCGACTTCTGTCCAGCGATCACCTGTTGAGTCCTCTCGTGGTTCGCCAAGATTCCCCCCAAACATATTCGCATTCCCTTGTTTCTTCTAGGTGCTGAGGGGCAGCGATCTGGCCGTGGCACGCTTCGCGGACGGAACTGTTGGTTAAGATTTGTGCAGTGAGGTCGGGCGGAGTGGTTGGGCCAGATGAAGGCGTATTCTGGACGGGGCCGCTTACATCCATCCTTCGATCCATCGCATGCTGACCAGGCTTCTCTGCGTGTCGCGGCCTTCCGCTCAAAAATTCATCCATTACCCTGTTGTGTTCCTGTGCTAAAAACAGTGACAGCACCAAGCACCGCGTAACTTGCGCATCAACGGGGGAAAAAGTGTGATTCCAGTGTGCGCTGTTGCTTGCCCAGGTGCTGGGCGAGTGGCACGTCTGTTTTCCTCGCCCTCTTCCTTCTCCCCCGTCGCCCTCCGCCTCAGATGCCTCCTCCTCCTTGCCCTCCTCCTCCTCCTCCTCCTCCTCCTCCTCCTCCTCCTCGAGCACCTCCTTCTCGCCGTCGTTCTCCTCCTCCTCCTCCTCCTCCACCTCCTCCTCCTCCTCCTCGAGCATCTCCTTCTCGCCCGTCGTTCTCCTCGTCCTCTCCCGCCCGTGAGAGGCCGATGCGCAGGAGTGCCCGGCCGGCGGTGGCTGCGACTGGCTCCGCGGCGCCGCGCGGTGGTGCGCCGACCGTCGTCGCGCCTGGGCTCGAGCCGGGCCTGTCCCTCTACAGGAGGAGTATTCAAACACTGTCGACAGATAGTCTGGGGACGATCTCTTTTTTTTGTTTGTTTTGTGAAAATATGTTTGGGTATGTTTAAAAATATGTTTCATTTTTCGTCCAAAATCCGCCTGTAGGGGGACGCGCCCGACCTAAGCCTGGGCGGGAGGCAGAGCGCAGGGAGGGGGGGGAGAAAGGAGGACGGACGAGGGAGGAGTGTGGACGAGGAGGGGGGCATGCAGAGATCTTCCGATATTATTCAGAGCCTTTGGGAAGCTTCTTTGGGCCATTCTGGGGCCCTCTCGGGGCGGCCTCTGTGAGGCCCTCGGGGCTCCGTTGCGGTCTCCTGGGGTCTCTCTTGGGGTCTTCTTCGTGGCCTTCTGGGCCCTCTTGGGGACATCCCGTCGGAGACTGACACGTCGTCTCTTGGGGTGGGACGTTTTTCGGGAGTTGGGAGTTCTCTGGGCCGTTTTGGATATCTTCTGGGCCCCGCTCAGGGCCATCTTGGGCTATCATGGGCCCCCTGGGAGACTTTCGACGCCCTGACCGCTCGCAGCCCTCCCCCGTCGAGACCAATGGGGAGAGGGTTCGGGGCGGGGTCCAGTGCCTAGCAGGAATGCCACAAGCTGTGTCGTTCACTCCCACCCGCCCTCTCACCATACGAGTAGCGCCCAACAAGACTCAGCATAGGCAGAGGTCCAAACTAGGAAGGGGCATCTTGGAACACCTTATGAAAACATCATACTGGACCGCTGCTGTTTTGGCTCTAGCTGCACGCGACCTCTACGATACTCTGGGCATTCGGCGGGTGCGATTTGCAGTAACACAGGAGCTGACATCTGCTGTTACATGTGCCATCGACATTCACGAGAAGTGGGGGAAGGATCCTGCACCGATCGGACCTCTTCTGCGCACAAAATCCCCTCACACTAAAGTAAACACATGCCGCCAGCGGAAAGACATGTATTGCACCTCAAATCGCCCCCGATTACAAATGGCACGCCAGGTGCGAGACGCTCGCGAGGTGCGCCACGGGTGCCAGGTGCGCCGCGCGCCAGGTGCACTAAGTGCCCCCGGGGCCGAAGCGCGCCAAGCGCGTCCGGTGCGCCAGCTGCGCCACTTGCTCCACGTGCGCCAAGTATGCTACAGGCTGGCCGCGCCAGGTGCGCCACAGGCGCGACGCGCGCAGAGTGTGCCAATCGCGCCACTGCACGTGACAGCACACACTGGGCAGTCGATGACACCCCACTTGCCAACAGCCAGCATGGTGTATGGTGGCCCCTGCAATCAGTTCGTATTGTTCTTGCTAAGGCAAGTGGGCCAGCACACACTGGACAAGCATGCTCCTATCCCGCCATCCCTGTCAAATGCCATAGCGACGTGCTCGCAGGGTGCCTTATCATCATCTACATTTTGCCGCCACGTCCGCTATCTAGTGTTTCTGTAACAAGGATGGTGAGGCCTTCATTGCTACTGGTCGGGGGCCGGACTGTTTGTTAACATGCTCATAGTGGGCAGTGGTATCAAGCCTTCCCGAAGGGGAAGATGGGGGGAGAGATCGCTCTAAACCAACTACGGCCAAACGGCTGGTAAGTTTCGAGGTTCGGGGTGCCCCGAGGAGCCGCGGAATCGTCGGGGGAGTTCGATGCAGCTTCCCGGAGGCCTGGTAGAGAATCCCACTGTCCAGGCGGAGAGCTCTTTGGGGCGCGACGCTTCGTGTCCAGCGGTTCAGCAGCCCCCTTCCTAAGCAAGTGCCCTAGGGTTCGGCGCGCCCTGGGGGCTCCGTGGGGGAGGCCTGGAGGGACGGAGGTGGCGAGGGGCGCAGGAGCGGAGGGACAGATCGGGTGGGGTTTACGGAGGGGTATAGGGGTTGGGGGGGCGGAGGGGCGGAGGGGATTCAAGACCAGAGCAGTGGAGCGGTGTAGGGGCGGAGTGGTGAGGAGGTGCTGGTGGCGGGCTGACGGGGCAGAGTTTCCCCCACCAGGTGCCCTCCGTCACTCGTTAGGACGTCGGAGGTCTGCCCCCGGTTGCTTCGCGGCCGCACCTCTGGCCGTGCAGGCCCGCTTGGGACGAGGCGGGCGCCGCTGGACGAAGGCATTCTCGGCGACGCGCGCCTGGTAAAAAAGGGGGCCTGGGTGTTGCAGTGCGCCTTGCACTCCTGATCCCGCCTGATTCTGGGGCTTTGCCCCCTCCTGGCCTTGACGTGCGGCCCCTCCTTCTGCCCCCCCCTCCTTGTTAATTCAAGCTGTGCGCGGCCCGCTCAGCTTCGACCGGAAGAGGTGCGCTCTCGACCCGCGGATCAAAAAAGTGTTGCAGTGCGCCGCGAAGCCTCCGAAGCTTCGCGAGCACCTCCAGCGCCAGATGCCGTCGTGTCGAGCGCCCGCTGCGCGAGAGAGAGAGAGAGAGAGATAGAGACCACGCCGCCCCCTCGCCCCGGCGGCTCTCCGCTGCCCGCCCCAGGCTCCGCGGGGTGCTGGCCTGCCAGTGCGGGCACTACAGGCGTCACCCGCGGACGATCTTCGCCGAGCGCGCTCCACGACTCGCAAAGTGCCTACCCGCAAACGTCATAAAAACACAGACGTCCGCTTTGATGTAGTTTGTCGTAGATCCTCCGCGGGGGATCCGGGCCATTCGCGAGTAGTTACTTTGCGAGTACGTGGGACGCGCTCGTCTAGATCTAAAGTGCTGCTGCGGCCGCCGCCCTTGACAGAGGGGAGAGGTGGAAGTTGTCGTCCAGAAGGTTTTCGAGCCGCTTGCCCTGCCCTAGCAGTTGGGCTCTGCCAAGATTGTGACGGCCACAAGGCCAGTTGCTGTATGTACTTCGAGTCTCGAGAGGGCAGGGCTAACATGTGGCTCAATGTTTGCCATCCGCCTCAGTGTGTTTCAGCATTCGCTTCAGTTCTGGCCCTAGCCGTGATAGCTGTAGCTTTGACTTGCGGCTTCACACTTGCTTCAGCTCTCGCTCTCCCGCTCGGCGTTCTAGCTGTAGCTTCATGCTTGAGCTCTCGCTTGCCCCGTATGCGTTCTTGCTGTAGCTCCAGCGCTAGGTTGTCTCACCCAAACGGTGTTGCACTGAGGTTGTGAACAAACATAGAGACAGGCGCCTCGTTCCCTGGGGGGACGGCGCGACGAAGAGAGCAGAGCTGAAAGAGATTGGCCATACCAGAGCGGGAACGAGACGCGGAGGTGCCAGCTGGAGCCGAAACCAACGGCAACGGTGACAGTGACCAGACGCCGGCGGCGGCTGCCGGGCGGACGGCAGCAGGGCGAGGAACCAACGTGGGGCGATGGAAGGCGCTTTTTGCCCCGCGCCTATCGGACGTGGGGTAGTTCCGGTGCCTTCTCAGGGCCACTGGCATGTTAGGGGCCCTTGAGGGCCCCTGCGGCCCTCGACCGCCCTCTGTTTGTCGCCCCCCCGGCTATCGTCCGCCCGAGGTTGGTGAGACCCGCTGGGCGGGGCGGGGCGCGCAGACGACGTCGGGCACCGTCGCCCCCTGGCAGATGGTGATGATGATGCTGCTGATGATGATGCTGATGATGATGATGATGATGATGATGATGCTGGTGATGATGGTGATGGTGATGACGGTGATAATGATAATGATAATGATGATGATGCTGATGATGATGCTGCTGATGATGATGATGATGATGATGATGATGGTGGTGATGGTGGTGGCGGTGGTGGTGATGATGATGCTGATGATGACGATGATGATGCTGCTGCTGATGATGACGATGCTGATTATGTTGTTGATGATGATGATGATGATGATGACGGTGATGCAACTGATGCTGATGATGCTGATGACGTTGATGATGCTGATGCTGATGCTCATGACGATGATGCTGCAGATGATGCTGCGTATGATGCTGCTTATGATGCTGGTGGTGCTGATGATGCTGCTGCTGACGATGATGATGCTGCTGCTGATGGTGATGCTGATGCTGATGACGATGCTGATAATGCTGCTGATGATGAGGATGATACTGATGATGCTGCTGCTGATGATGCTGATTACTATGATGATGCTGCTGCGGATAATGGTAAGTATGATGATGATGATGACGACGATGATGATGATGATGATGATGATGATGATGATGATGATGATGATGATGGTGCTGATGATGATGATGCTGATGATGCTGATGATGCTGATGATGCTGCTGATGATGACGATGATGATGACGATGCTGATGCTGATTCTGATGCTGATGTTGATGATTATTCAGATCATGATCATGCTGATGATGCTGATGATGCTGATGATGCTGTTGATGCAGATGACGACGATGACGACGACGATGGCGACGATGACCATGACGATGACGATGACGATGGCGATGACGATGGCGATGGCGGTGGCGATGACGATGACGATGACGACACGACGAGGACGACGAGGACGAGGAAGAGGAGGAGGAGGAGGAGGAGGAGGAGGAGGAGGAGTGAGGAGGAGGAGGAGGGTGGGGAGGAGGAGGAGGAGGATGAGGAGGAGAGGAGGAGAGGAGAGGAGGAGGAGGAGAGGGAGGAGGAGAGGAGGAGGAGGGGAGGAGGAGGAGGAGGAGGGGAGGAGGGGAGGAGGAGGAGGAGGAGGAAGGAGGAGGAGGAGGAGGAGAGGAGGAGGAGAGAGGAGGAGGAGGTGAGGTTGAGGAGGAGGAGGAGGAGGAGGAGGATGAGGAGGTAGGGTGGTGGTGGTGGAGGAAGGAGGAAGGAGGACAAGGGGGAGGATGATGGTGATGAGGAGGATCGAGGGAGCAGGAGGGCTCACAGAAAGCTTCGGGCACAGCCTCCCCCCCCTGCGCGTGGTGGCCTCTCATGCACCCACCCCCCCCCCTCGCGAACGGCGACGATGACGCCGACGACGCGGACGACGCCGATGGTGGCGACGACGGCGGCGGCGGCCATACCGACAGCCCAGACATCCGACGAGGTGCTCTTTTTCCAGCCCGCGGCCTCCTCCTCCTCCTCCTCTCCTACGTCCTCCTCTCCTCCTCCTCCTCCTCTCCTCCTCCTCCTCCTCTCCTCCCTCCTCCTCCTCCCCCCTCCTCCCGCCCCTCCCTCCACCTCCTCCCCCTCCCCCTCCTCCTCCCTTCCCTCCTCCCTTCCCTCCTCCCTCCCCTCCCCTCCGCCTCCCCTCCGCCTCCCTCCCTCCTCCTCCACCTTCCGCCAGGCCTCCCGGCACCGCCGTCGCGCTGCTCACCACTTGGCCGCTGTAGCGTGCCGGGCGCGGCCGCCGCGCTGGGCCTCGCGCGGCCGCGGCTGCCCCGCAGGCCGCGCGGGGGCGGGCGCGGCGAGCTCAGGCCGGCGGTGTGATCCTTTCTCGGCAGGCGGCTTTTTTCCCGAACGGCGTCTCGCCGCGGTCGGGGACTTGTGTTCAGTCGGGCCTGTCCTTCTACAGGAGGAATATCTGAAGATAGCGAAACAATCGCCCGGGGACAATTTTTGGGGCATTTGTTTTGCTATTTTTTTTGGGGGGGGCTATTTCTAACGTTTCGTCCAAAATCCGCCTGTAGGGGGACACGCCCGAAGTAAGACTTGTGTAGGGGAACAAACAGTGACATACACATAATAACTCGGAGGTCCGCGCGGATTTCTCGGATCGGCGCTGAGGCCCCCTGGCGGCGCCTCCAGCGCCGCCCCTTGCGCGCTCTGCGCGCCAGGGAGGGGGGGTCCAGCGCCGATCTGAGAAATCCGCGCGGACCTCCGAGTTTTTATGTTTATGTCATTCTTCGTCCCCCTAGTCTCGCCGCGGTCGGGGACTTTCGGTCATTCATGCCACTCGCCTCGCCAAGGGTGCCGACAACGTTCACGTTTGTCGGCACGCTTGGGGAGGCGTGTTGTATATACTATGGCTGTCCACTCCTATCTCCTGCTCCTCCACAAAATCAGGTCGGGGACTTTTAGTCAGCGTGTCGCTCCGCGGGTTCTGGCCCACCAGGCTTCGGCGCGGCACGCTGTCCACGTTCCGCTCCCCGAGCGTCATCGTCCCGAGCCTTTCCCAGCCTCCCGCCCCGCAGAGCGGAGCGACACGCCATCCGCTCGTAGGGCATAGCGTGTTGCCCGGGCCGCCGCGGCGACACGCCAGCTAGACGTCCGTGACCGTAGCGTTTCGCTAGGGGGTTCTACGATTAGGTCGGGCATGCCCCCCTGCAGGGGGATTAAAAACATGCACCCCAAATATCCGAAAGCAGTCAAACATAGTAAGAAATTCGTCCCCATATTATCTTCTGACCATTTCGAATTTTCCTTCTGTAGAAGGACAGGCCCGACTTAATTCTACGAGAAGTTTGCAAGGACCAGAGAAGAGGTCCACAGAGGGGAACCTTGCGGCGGCGACGACGAGGGCGCATAGCCCAGGGGCGGGCATTAGACGCATTCGCCCAAGAGCCTTGTCGAAGACACAGATCATCGGCGCCCCTGGATGCATGCATGGTTCTCCCCTGGGCTATTCGCCCCTGTCGACGCCTCTGAATCTTGCTCTCGCCTCAATGCCGGCGACATGTCTGGCACCGATGGCCACGGCCCCTTGTAAGAGACCCATGCCGTGCCCTCACCCCTGTCCAGGCTGCATCTCTCGTAGGAATCTCTGTTGGGGGTGCCTGGGACTGCACGCTTTCACTCGCCGACCTCCCGTTCAGGACCCATAGGCGCACCAGGGCTTGAGGGCAGGGGATTCAGCAGGCTGCCGGCGTTGCCTCAATGGTTTCGGTCATCCAGGGCCCCGTGGCAGCATCCTCACGCGCCGCGTGCGGCGGGGAAGGTCGCGCGCGGGCTGCTGGCCCCAGGGGGGGGTGGCGTCACCCTCGCGGTTGCACTGCCCGGATCGCGCTCGGTGTTGAGCGGTGCCGTGCGGTGGCTGTTGTCCGCGCGGGTTCTGGGGCGGGACCGCAAGTAGAGTTAAGTCGGGCTTGTCCCTCTACAGGAGGAGTGTTCAAAAATACGTTGAACAATTATAAGGGAACGATTTTTTGAGCATTTTGAAACTATTCTTGAATGTTTTAAGACTATTCTTTAGTTTTTCGTCCAGAATCCTCCTGTAGGGGGGCATGCCCGACCTGAGAGCAGAGGTCGCGGGCTCCTCCCACAGGGTCATTTCCCCGAGTGGCGTTGGGAGAAGGCTCAGGAAGCTTGTTCTGAAGGCTGGGGAGCTTCCGAGCCTTTCGTGAGGGCCTTCTCCCGTTCCTCTTCCCCCCCTCGCGACGGCTGGGGGGAAAGGAACGGGAGGAGGAGGAGGAGGAGGAGGAGGAGGAGGAGGAGGAGGAGGCGGGGGAGGAGGAGGAGGAGGAGGAGGAGGAGGAGGGAGAGAGGAGGAGGAGGAGAGCTGGAGAGGAGGAGGAGGAGGAGGAGGAGGAGGAGGAGAGAGGAGGAAGAGCTGGAGGAGGAGGAGGAGGAGGTAGGAGGAGAGGAAGGAGGCGGAGGAGGAGGAGCTGGAGGAGGAGGAAGGAGGAGAGGAGAGGGAGGGCGGAAGGAGGAGGAGGAGCTCGCCGCCGCTCCTGGGGGGCAAGCCCCCGGGGCCAGGTCCACTGCTTGTCATGGCGCCCGCCTCTATTTTTCGGGGGCGGAAGAGAGGCGGGCCCCTCCCCCTCCCCCTCCCCCCCCCCCCCCCTCCCTCCCCGTCTCCTCCTCCCCCTCCCCACCTCCCCTCCCACCTCCCCTCCCCCACTCCCCCCCCCGTCGCCCCCCCTACCACAAACTCCCCTCCCCTCCTCCTCCTGCTCCTCCTCCTCCTCCCCCCCCCCCCCCCCCCCCCCCCCCCCCCCTCCCCCCTTCCCCTCCCTCCTCCTCCCCCCCCCTCCCTCCTCCTCCTCCTCCTCCTCCCCCCCCCCCTCCCCCCTCGTCCCCTCATCCCCCCCTCCCCCCTCCCCCTTCCCCCCCTCCCTCCTCCTCCTCCTCCTCCTCCTCCCTCCTCCCCCTCACCCCCCCCCCCCCCCCCCCTCCCTCCTCCTCCTCCTCCTCCTCCTCCCGATGGCTGGGGGGTGGGTGGAGATCATGGCGGGGGCCACGATATTTCCCCCGATTTTATGGCGCCTCTTCTTATTTCATCACGTCCCTGGCCCCCCCGCTGGGCCGCGCACGTGCCGCCGGTCGTGATTTGCAGCCCCCCCCCTCTTGGACACCCCCCTCTTGGCCGCTCCCGATGCTTCGTGCCACAGGAAGTGGAGAGGGGGCAGCTGCCCCAGGGCGGGGGTGGGGGGCAGAGGGAATGACCTCTCGTCGGAGCGACCTTTGGCGCGGGCACACCGGGGCCCCCCAGATGATTGAGCTCACCACTCACCAAAGCACCCCGAGCCAACCCGAAGGGCCCACTTCGCCCTCCATTCTCAGCGGGGGGGTGTCGGGGAACATTGGGAAAACACGTGTGGGACCCGTACCCCCTTCCCAACCCGAACTTTGGGTCTTCGGGCTGGGTTGGGGTGGTCTGGTGAGCAGTCATGAGCGGGATGCGATAGCAGCGTCTTGCGCGTTCGGGTGTGCCCTCCTCGCGGCCCTCGAAAGTCGCGACCCAAGATCACTCTTGCCTACTCCGAGTTACTTAATGAGCATCGCGGGGGCGTCACCCCCGCCGACAGCCCCGTATCGACCCCCGTCGCGGGCAGCCACCGCGCGCCAAAGGCGCTCCGACCCCTGTCGCGGCGCGACGACGAGGCGAGGTTGATCCCCGTCGGGGGGGTACCCCCCCACGCTGATTAAGAAACCCAGAGTAGGCTCACCCTTGCTTGTAGCCGAATGGGTGGGTGGTGGCTTTCGGTCAGGTCGTCGAGGAGCCCTCTCTCCCGGGCACGACTCGCCCTGACGTCGGCTCGGACGTGTGGCATTCTTCTCGGCGGGGCCGGCGACAGAGAAACCAGCATCGGCTGGAGAAGCGGCACTGACGCAACGGAACAGAGCACAGGGAATCGGCATCCGAGCGATGGCAAGGCGCTTCCCTCCCGGCGCTTGGAAGATGAGGGTACATATCCGAGCAGTGGCGGAGCGTCCTAGTTGTCCTATAGTCCCACCAACAATGTTCCTAATCATTTTTCGTTGTCTGCACGACATGTTCTTAGAACATTTCTCCTTGTGACGATCTTGTTTTACACATCGGGTTCACGTTCTAAGAACATTGTCTTGTTCATCGAACACTTTCGGGCTCTAGGAGCATTGTGCGTGGTAGGCCTACAGGAATGCCGGGACGCTCGGTCTATGCTCAACAGATCAACCGGCCCACCGATCCAAGAGCGGTCGACAACGAGGCCCTTGCCAGCACGGCGTGGTGCGATCGCAAGCGGCAGCGCAGGCAGGCGGCAGCGCAGGCAAGCGGCAGAGCACCCGGCAGCAGCGCGTGCCGGCAGGTCCGGGGCGCCCGGCACGGGGCAGTCCCTGCCATCGCCCCTGCCCTGCCGTGAAGGCGGGCGTGTCCCCTCCACGCAAGGAATCTTCAAACACAGCACCAAGGATCGTCGGGGGACTTTTGGGAGTAGCTCTTGACTGTTCTTGAGCAGTTGTTGGTGATGTGTTTCGTCCAGAATCCGCCTGTAGGGGAGCATGGCCCGACCTGACCCTTCCAGGGAGACTCATGGCCGCGCATGGCCCTTCCTCCTCCGCTGGGGCCGAAAGATGGGGCCGCAGAGGGTGGCCGCGGTTTTCCCGTCTGGTGGCAGGCCCGAGGGGCCTCCTCCCCCCTCGAAGCAGGGCGTGGTGTACAGTGTGCAGACGCTGCAAGAAAGGCCTGTTTGGGCTCAGGAGGGGCCCGGGTTTTCGGGCCATTCCTCCAGATCCGGGAGGAGGAGGAGGAGGAGGAGGAGGAGGAGGAGGAGGAGGAGAAGGAGGAGGAGGAGGAGGAGGAGGAGGAGGAGGAGGAGGAGGAGGAGGAGGAGCAGGAGGAGCCCATTCGGGCCGAGGCGCGCCGTGGTCAGAGAGAGCCCATTCGTTCCTTGTCTGGTGTTCCTTCTGGCAGCACGATGACTGTGCTTTCAGGGGGTACCGTGCCCCAGTCGAAGGGTGAAGCTGGGCGGGCCCAAAGGACCTGCGCGCAAATCCGTTTTCACAGGGTCCGGTGGTGGTCTCAGGAGTAACGCGCTTGCACGGATGAACAGCGCGCGACGCCCGCCCTGCCTCGGAATGTAACAACTGCGCGGTAGCTCTTGTTTCCAAATCAGCGACTCCAGTCAACTGCACGCCCGCGCTGTGCTGACCGCCATTGCCCAGTTCCCTTCAAAGCAGTCCCTGCGCGGTGTATGCATTGCGCTCCGCCGATTGGCTGGGCGAGGGGGGTGGGTTCGCTGGCCCCCCTCCGCCCCTGGCGTCGTTATGACTTCACTTCCTGCGTCCGCGGAGTCATTTTGGCTCGAGCTCCCCTGCTGGGTGTGGCCCCGCCCCGCCCCCTTTTCAGGGAAACGTGCGTCTTGAGCACGCCGGAACTCGGGTTTGCCGACGCTTCTTGACGGGCGCGTTCTGGATTGTGACATGACGATCCAGTTTTCGTAGGATGCTTGCAGCGGGAGCTCGCGTCAAATGCCGGACGGGGTCTCGTCATCTTCATGACGGCCCCGTCAGGCCAACCCGAGTCCCCCGAACCCGAGTCCTGCGTCTCCCTCCCCCCCTTGCAGCGGGCATCCGCAAAGGGTGCCTGCCAGCTGCCCGGCGGAGGCCGGGGACATGCAGCCGACCAGCCGCGAGGGGCGCGGCGGGGGCGCGCCCGGCCAGGCTCCAGGGGCGGCCGCCGCCGACGGCAGCGCCGGCGCGGCGGCGGCGCCGCGGGCGGCCGCGACTGGAGCCGCCGCCGGTGAGCCCGGCGCAGGCCCGGGCGGCAGCGCTCAGGGGCCGCCTGCGGGCACCGGGCCTCAGGCCGGAGCCGACCTCGTGGCCCTGGAGGCGCTGCGGGGGAAGCTGGCGAGCTACTCGCGGCGCTCCGCCGTGTACGCCTGCGGCCGCGCGCGGGCGAGGGCGCTGGCGGTGCTCCCGGAGGAGCTCCGCCTGCTGCAGGGCCGCGCCGACGAGGCCACGATGGCCCAGCTGCTGCGGTGGTTCAAGGCCGACTGCTTCCGCTGGGTGGACCGCCTCCCGTGCGCCGCGTGCGGGTCCGCCTCCACCGAAGACGGTGGGCCCCTGGAGCCGTCCGAGGCGGAGCGTGCGCGTGGTGCCGACCGGGTCGAGGCGCACAGGTGCCGGGACTGTGGGGCCGTCGGGCGTTTCCCGCGGTACGGCGACCCCCTGACGCTCCTCGAGACGCGGCGCGGCCGATGCGGGGAGTGGGCGAATTGCTTCACCCTCCTTGCGGCGGCGCTCGGCTTCGAGGCTCGCCTGGTGTTGGACTGGACCGACCACGTCTGGACGGAGTTCCTGGGGCAGGACGGGCGCTGGCGCCATTGCGATCCCTGCGAGGGGCGCATGGACTCCCCGCTGCTCTACGAGGCGGGCTGGGGCAAGGAGCTGACCTACGTCTTTGCCTTCTCGCCGGCGGAGGTCGTGGACGTCACGCCCCGCTACACGGCCGTGTGGCCCGAGGTCCTCGCGCGCCGCGGGCCGGCCTCCGAGGCCGACCTCGCGGGCGTCGTGGAGGACCTCGACGCGCGCGCCCGCGCAGGCGCCGCGCCCCCGCCCTGGCGGGCGCCCGAGGCCCGGGAGCTCGCTGCGGCCCGCGGCCCGGGCGCGGGCCGGGAGGCGGGCGCCGCAGAGCTCGCGGGGAGGGAGACGGGCTCGGTGGACTGGCGGCTGGCGCGCGGCGAGATGGGGCCTCGGGCCGCGGCAGCCTCGCTGGGCGGCGAGCCGGGCGCACTGCTGGTGGACCCAGGGCTTCTTTGTCGCAACTTTTTTGAGGAATAATTTTTTGATGTTACAGAACAAAGCAAAACTGAGGAATTGAAGCAAAACTGCATCAATGATGTTTAACACGACGGATCAACCAAATCTGCGACATCGCACATTGTTCAATAAACATCAAACAAAACTGCGACATGTGACTGTCATATCAAACATACGCATGTACCCATGTGTCTAAGCTTGCATGCATGTGATATATATATATATGTATATATACATATATATATATATGTAAATGTATATGTATATATATGTGTATATGTATATGTATGTTTAACACGACGGATCAACCAAATCTGCGACATCGCACATTGATCAATAAACATCAAACACAACTGCGACATGTGACTGTCATATCAAACATACGCGTACCCATGTGTATAAAGCTTGCATGCATGTGCTATATATATGTATATATACATATATATAAATATATATGTAAATATGTATAGGTATGTATATATATGTGTATATGTATGTATATGTATGTTTAACACGACGGATCAACCAAATCTGCGACATGGCACAATGTGCAATAAACATCAAACAAAACTGCGACATGTTACCGTCATCTCAAACATACGCATGTATCATGTGTATGAGACTGCATATAAGTGCTATGTATATGTAAACATTTTTTATATATATACATAGTAAATATTTTATATATATACATATAAAAATATATGTATATATGTATATGTATATGTATATATGTGTATATGTATGTATATGTATGTTTAACACGACGGATCGACCAAATCTGCGACATCGCACATTGTTCAATAAACATCAAACAAAACTGCGACATGTTACTGTCATCTCAAACATACGCATGTATCATGTGTATAAGCCTGCATAGTTGTGCTCTATATATGTATACATGTATATATACATATATAAATATATGTACATATGTATATGTATATGTATATTTGTGTATATGGATGTAAATGTATATGTATATATATGCATATATACATATGTATATATATGATATATATATATACAAACTATAACATCGGCATGAGCAGGTACCACGTGGTGTGTTGTGTGTGCCGCATGCGCATGCACGCATGGTACGTTTATGTGTTTGTTTGTAAGGCCCTCTCTCTCCTTCTCTCTGCTTCTGCCGATACTCGCCGCGCCGTTAACGCTCAGGGCCGCGAATCGCGGCCAAGGCCTGCCCTGGCCGAAGGATGGCCGACGCCAGCGATGATCATGAAGATGATCATGATGATGATGAGTTCCAGGATACGCCCCCCACATCTGTTGCTGCCATTGCCAAGGCGAGCGATGCATCAGGAGAGGAGGAAGACGAGGAGGAGGAGGATGGGAGGAGGAGGTGGCGGAGGCAGCGAAGGAGGAGGAGGAGCAGGAGCAGCAGCAACAGCAGACCTATGCATCGGAAGGCGATCATTCCGTATTTCAAGAACTCCACCGATTTTTTCCTTTACCCGCACCAGCAGCGGAGATCGAAGCCGAACCCCGAGATTCTCAATGAGGACACGGGGGATTCGGGCGATTGCAGAGGACGGCGATGGCAGGGAAGGGAGGATCGAGAACAGGGGGAAGAGAGAGAGAGAGAGAGAGGGAGAGTGAGAGAGAGAGAGAGGGGGGGGAATCCTCACCTTGGAAGGTATTATCCTCGTGCGACCCTTCATTTTCATCCTCGTCCGAGCCTTCGTCCTTCCTCCTCCTTTTGATCCTCCTCCACTCGTATTTTCCCCGTCCTCTTCAGTTCCTCCAGTGTTTCATTTTCTCCTTGCGCTTGCGTGGGTGGCTGGGAGAACGCCAAGATGATCAAAGGCTTGATGGATTCGGTCGACGACATGCGCCTCACGAAAAAAGTTGCGCTGGAGGTGATGCACCTGGTGCATGACATGAAGGGCTTCAGCGTGTCAAGCGCGGTGGGACGGGGACGCAGCTCGGGGGGTGGAGGAGGCTGATGATGAGGATGGGGAGGATGATGAGGATGAGGACGATGGGGTATGATGAGGAGGATAAGGAGGACGAGGAGGAGAGGGAGGATGGGTGTAAAAGGAACGGAGGATGGAGAGGACGAGGAGGAGAAAGAAAACGAGGAGGACGTAGGGAGGAAGGGGAGCGAAGGCAAAGCAGAAGTGGACAGCCATCTACGGCAAGAGGCTGAGGACGGCGATCGTCCACGTTCGCGACGCAGGATTTTGACAGGAGAAAGGAGGGTGAAGAGGAGGAGGAGAGGATGAGGAGGAGGAAGAGGAGGAGGAGAAGGAGGAGGAGGAAGAGGAGGAGGAGGAGAAGGAGGAGGAGGAGGAAGAGGAGGACGAGGAGGACGAAGGGAAGGAGGAGGAGGAGGAAGAGGAGGAGGAAAAGGAGGAGGAGGAGGAAAAGGAGGAAGAGGACCTCATTGGGGGCTCATTGGGGATGTCCGGTGCCTGGCCCCCATCTCCAGAGGACGGCGGGACCCGCCGCTCAAGTGGGCAGTCCCGTTCTTGAGCGGCAGCGCGGCACCAGCTGTGCTCAAACGACCTGCAGCATTCAGAAGGCCAGCTGCCGCAGAGGAGCTCAAGGCAAAAACACACGAGGAAGCAGAGGGCGAGGAGGCAGAAGACGAGGAGGCTGCGCCGCTGGCGAAGAAGCCCTCGGCGCTCGAAGAGGCAGAGCCCCAGGAGAAGTCGGGGGCGGAAGGAGAGGAGGAGGAGGAGGAGGAGGAGAACGAACGGGATGAGGAAGAGGAAGAGGAAGAGGAAGAGGATGAGGCGAAGGTGGCTTCGAAGAAGCCTGCGGCGGCGGCGTCAGATGCATCGGCAAAGCTTGAGCAGGAGAAGAAGACGAATAAACGAGCTGCAGAGGACGTCGCCCGCGCCAAGAGGAGTAAGCTTAATGAGGGGCCGTGCGACGAAATTCCTGGTAGCATGTTTGATATGCCGTACGACGAACCGATCCCAGTCAGCCCAGTAGAGCGGAAAGCCCCAGCAACGGCTACGAAAGCGCCGCCACCGACCCCAGTGAAAGCGAAGGGCAAGCCACCAGCCCCAGTAGAAGCGAAGGACTCGCCACCGACCCCCGTAGAAGCGAAGGACTCGCCACTGACCCCAGTGATCCCCGCCAAACCCAAAGGCAAAGGCAAAGCAAAAGCAAAAGCGGAGGCACCAGGGGATGGGCCGAAAGTCACGTGGGAACCACAACGGTTGCAAGCATGTTTGCGGTACCGCCGTTCGAAGACGAGATGGGGCCCCCCAGAGTATTCGGATATTTTTGAACCCGACGTAGATGCTGGCATAGTCAACGCAGTATTTACTACTGGAACCTTCAGAGTGCCATCCATCGTTCCCGACGACCTCCTGGAAATTCTCAAGGAGGGGCTGGGCCTTAGAGAAGGGTCGGAAGGAGGGGGAGGGAGCAGGGAAGATGGAGAAGGGAGGGGCGGAGGGAGGAGGGGTGTAGGGTGGAACGAGGGGGAGGAGGGAGGAGGAATGGACCCCCCCCCCAGTGAAGAGATGGAGCGCAGGCCAAACTGGACGATGCGGCTGCCAAGCGCTCAAGTAACACATTCTGGACGGGAACAGATTGTGATGGCAAGCGTGTGAAGGTTTTCAGAAAGCAGGACCTTCTTGTAAAAAAACACGCACCTTCCCCCTTTACGAAAACATGTTCGATCTGGTTAGGAATACGAATATAATTATAATGAGTTCCCTGGATGATGTTTTCGAGAACCCTGTCCCCTGGCCCATTCTCTCATCAGTCTTATCTCCTCTACATTGCACCATATGCCGCGAGGATCGGAAAATCCTCGTGGCAATCAGAATTGGCGGGGCTGGCGGCAACGACGTCTTACACCAGACAACCAATGAGGCTGAGAAGATGACCTTGGAGGTTTCGAAAAAGATGATGATCGAGATTGCTACTATGTACTGCAATGGCGCGCTGGGAGAATTTATCCTCATGCCTGCCTTCATCCTTCCCCCCCCCCATCCTCCTCTAGATCCCCCATCCTCCTCCTTGCCGTGAGGTTGTTAGTCTCGGCCCGCCGTCTCGGCCAGCTGCGTGCCCCTTGTGTGCCTCGGATGCGGCGGCACACATTCAGTGGCTGAGACGGAAGGGCTGGGACTCCTCAGAAGGCGTCATCAGCAGGGAGGACTTGACGGCCGAGCGCGACAAGAGGGTCGCGCTGATCACGGCAGGCTGAGAGCAGCGCGAAGTGCATACGCCATTGACGTGCTGTTTCTGTCATGTTTGCAAAAATGTAAGGCATAGAAGCGAAATAACGCCATGGCGCTATTTCGAATCCCCAATGAATCACAATGAATCCCAATGAATCCCAATGAAGCCCAACGAGGCCCAATAACGCCCATTCAGAAATGATGCCCACGAGGAGCAAGAGGAGAAGCAGGAGGATGAGGAGCAGGAGGGGGATGCTTCTCATGCAATGTATACTCTATAGATGCTCCGCGTTGCTGTTTCGCCTCGAGCTGATTGGGAAGCAGTGGGGCCCTGCAGGGAGAGCAATGGCGGAGTTCACTCCGTACCAGGGGGCCTTCGGGAAGCTAGGAGGGGACGCAGTGGGGAGAACTCGGGGCGGACCATGCACTTCGGCGGCCAGTTCAAGCGGCGGCGGTTGTGTTGCAACAATCCCTGTCGACGATTCGTGCGACGAGTTCGAGTGGGTTTGCCCTATCTGCAAACGCACCAACAAGGAGACAGACACCGATTGCCAGCAGTGCTCCACGGAGCGCTGGTTTGTGAGGAAGGGGCGGAGGAGCAGGAGAAGGAGGAGGAGGAGGAGGAGGAGGAGCAGGATGATGAGGAGGGGCAGGAGGGGGAGGAGGCAGAGGAGGAGGAGGAGGAGAAGGAAAAGGTGGTTCTTAGGGCCCCCGCTGTAGCCGCAGGACTGGCAAGCCGCAATGGATGCTGCAGACGATCGGGATACGCAGGCAATCCGTGATGCCATCGTGAGGGGAGAGGAAGCAGAGCTCGCGGCGGCGGCGGCGCTGGCGGCCCCAACCGACGAGGCAGGAATGCAGGGAGGAGGAGGCGGAGGAGGAGGAGGAGGAGGAGACGGCAACGACGGCGATAAGACGGAGGAGGTCACAGCAGAAGCCGAGGGAGGAAGGGCAGGCAGCGGCGAGAACGCTGACGGCGGCGCGCAGCCGAGGCATGAGAAGCAGGCAGCTGAGGGAGGAGGCGGCATCGGAGACGAAGGTACCGAAAAGAAAGAAGACGGCAACGATGCTGGCGATCCGCGGGCGGAAGGGAAGTGGTACCATAAGAAACAGAGGACTCACCATGAGACTGCAGGGGCTCTGCAGGACCTTACGAGAGACGAGGAGGCCGAGGATGCGAAACCTGAGGAGCCGCAAAGGATCTCGAGGAACTGGAAGCTGAGGGAACCAGACACGTTTGAGCGCCAGTATGACGAAGAAGTGGTGAAAGAAAAGGACAAGGAGATAGAGAGGATGAAACGGCAACTTGAGATGTTACAGCAGCAGGCAGATGAGGATCGAAGGATTGCCGAGGATCGTGTTAGGGCGGCTGAGTTGAAGGCCGATCGTGCGGAGGTGGCAGCACATCTTATGTCCGAGGTTGCGAAAGTTGCCAAGGATGTTGCAGATTTTTCCCAGGATGAGGAACGCCAGGCCGATAGGAAGAGTCAAGCACAAGCGAGCAATGATCGTGAGGGAAGCCAGGGGCTGGCTGATGATCCGATGAAAGCTGCGGAGATGCGGGGGGGGGGAAGAGGCTGAGGTTGAGGAGGTGCGCGAGGAGGTAGAGGCTGAGGATGAGGAGAAGAAAGCCCTGCAGGACAAGGCTGCTGAGGAGCGCGTGAGGAAGCAAGCCGAGGAACTGGAGAGGCGTGCGAAGGCTGCCCTGGCCGCTGAGAAGAGGCAGGCGGATGCTGCTCGGGAAAGGGAGGCCGAGGAGAACGCCAGGCAGAGGGCTGTCGAGGAGCTCAGGGCAAAGCAAGCTGAGGAGATGCAGGCGAGGGAAGCTGAGAGGAAGAGGGCGAAGGCTGATAGAGAGCGCAAGGAGGCTGAGGAGCATGCCACGGTTGTCGAGGAGCTCAGGGCAAAACAAGAAAAGGAGATGCAGGCGATGGAAGCTGAGAGGAAGAGGGCTGTCGAGGAGCTCAGGGCAAAGCAAGCTGAGGAGATGCAGGCGATGGAAGCCGAGAGGAAGAGGGCGAAGACTGCTAAAGATCTCGAGGCTGAGGAGAAAGCCAGGGAGGAGAAGGCTGCTGAGGAACGCAAGGCGAAGGCTGCTAAAGATCTCGAGGCTGAGGGGAAAGCCAGGGAGGAGACGGCTGCCAAAGATCTCGAGGCTGAGGAGAAAGCCAGGGAGGAGAAGGCTGCTAAAGATCTCGAGGCTGAGGAGAAGGCCAGGGGGGAGAAAGCTGCTGGGGAACGCAAGGCGAAGGCTGCTACAGATCTCGAGGCTGAGGAGAATGCCAGGAAGGAGAAGGCTGCTGAGGAACGCAAGGCGAAGGCTGCTAAAGATCTCGAGGCTGAGGAGAGAACCAGGGCGGAGAAGGCTGCTAAAGATCCCGAGGCTGAGGAGAAAGCCAGGGAGGAGAAAGCTGCTGAGGAACGCAAGGCGGAGGCTGCTAAAGATCTCGAGGCTGAGGAGAAAGCAAGGGGGGAGAAGGCTGCTGAGGAACGCACGGCGAATGAGGACAAGGCTGTCGGGGAGCGCCAGGCGAGGCAGGCAGAGGCGGTGCTTCAGGATGATCTTGAAACCCAGCCCGCGACCGAGCTTATTCTGGTCAAAACGAGGCAGCAAGCAACGCAGGCGGCGCGAGAGGCAGCGCGAACAAGGGCGGCGGGAGAGACAACTGCATTAACGAGTACTGGTAAGAACGGCCTTGGGAAACACGAGCTGGCGCGCCTGCTTATGGAGGTCACGAATAGCAGAGGCAAGCAAGAATACGAAGCAGACGAGGTTGCGAAAGATAACGTGCCCGAAGATGTCAAGGCGTTCATGCAAGTGCTGGTGGACGGTATCAAGACCGAGGTTGTAGCTCGAAGCCCTTGCTACCAGAAGTTCGAGCGTCATAAGAAAGCGCTAGAGAAGAAAGATGCGAAGTGGAAGGAGGACTGGGCAAAAAAGAATTCGGAGGAGAGGAAGAAATACAGGGTCGAATGGGCCGAGCAAAAGCTGAAGGCGGAGGTTCGCAAGTGGACGAAAAAGAAGTCGTTCCAGCGCGTCGACGAGTCGAAGGGGACGTACTTCAGCTTCTCGCGGATTGTCCAGGATGGCAGCTTCCTTCTACCACCTCCAATTCTCCTCCTCAATATCGTCCGACTCGTCCTAGGAGCTTCATAAGTTGTTCATTGGGGTTTCATTTGGGTTTCATTGGGAGTTCATTGGGATTTCATTGGGGTGTTCATTGGGGTCCAGGGGTGCGGTGCCAGGGTGCCAGAGCTTCAATCAGTTCCACGGGCTTCAACCAGATGCTCATTAATTAAGGAGTCTGGTGCTCGGTAGGCTCCCCTTTTCCGCCTGGGCAGGAGGAGGGCGGTCACCACGACGAGGACAACTGGGAGGCCGCCTATCACTATTGCGAGGCGCTCACGGAATCCGTGGGAGGAGGAGGAGCAGCAGGACGGGAGGAGGAGGAGGAGGAGAAGGAGGAGGAGGAGGAGGAGGAGGAGGAGGGGGAGGAGCAGGGAGGAAGAGGAGGAGGAGAATAAGGGAGGGGGGAGGGATGAGGAGGAGGAGCAGGGAGGAAGAGGAGTGAGGAGGAAGAGGAGGAGAGAAGAGCCTAGGAGGAGTTAGGAGATCTCCTTCATCCGCCCCCCATCTCTCTGTGCTCAGGCATGCGTTCGAATGGGAGGCGAGTGGCTGATGTACGACACCATGACGAAGCGTACGAAATTATTCTATGTTGTGCTTGAGAAAAGGGAAATCATGACAGAATCCTGGAATCAATTTACACAGTTTGGAGACCCAACAGAAGTCAATGGCCCCTTGCATCGCCTCACCGATCAGAAGAACAGCGCAGCCGCAGCGGGAGGGCAGGTCAAGGTAGAACAAGATCAGGAGGATGTCCCAGCGAGGAAGAGGGCGAGGAAAGGCAAGGCAGCGAGGGAGGAGGCAGCGGCCGCGGCAGCAGCTGCGGCAGCTGATGATGACAGCGACGACAATACGGGCATTGGAAAAACTCCAGATGAGACGGCGCAGAGGGAGGCAGAGGAAGCGGAGAAGTTAAAGCAGAAGCAGATAAGGAAGGACCTTACCGCTGCTGAGACCGAAGCCAAAAAATGGATTTCGAAGTTCTCTGGTGCCATGCAAAGTGTAGACACGATCAAATCAGCTGTCGAAAAGATGCCAGAGTGGGCATGGCTACGTGACCACGCTGTTAACATGTCTAATCTCGATAAGCTTACGAAAGCGGCCCAGGAAGCAACGACTCCATTCATGACTCGCTTGCTGACAGAGGATCACAAGGAGGTCAAGAAGGGCCACAGCGTCGAGAAACTGATATCTGAGTTCAAGGAGATCTCGGCCAGGACTGCCAGGAGGATGGAGGATGAGTATGAGGGATGAGGAGGATGTCGAGCCTGCCTCAGCCTCAGCCTCAGCCTGCCTCTGCCTCAGCCTCAGCCTGCTTAAGCCTCAGCCTCAATCTGCCTTCAGCCTCGGCCTCAGCCTCAGCCTGCCTCAGCCTCAGCCTGCATCCGCCTCAGCCTCAGCCTCAGCCTGCCTCAGCATCAGCGCGCCTCAGCCTCAGCCTCAGCCTGCCTCAGCCTCAGCCTCAGCCTAGGAGGATGAGGAGGAGTACTGAGGGAGGAAGACTGAGGACGGGGAAATGAGAGAAGAAGGACGCGGGGTCGGATCAGGATGCCTGCGCCCATCGAGAAGCTGAACAACTGGCATGGTAAGATCATGAGTTCGCACGCGCTGGAGAAGAAATATGCTGATTCCCTGGAGGAGAATTCGTGAGCCGCCGTGACCCCGTAGGTGAAGCTCCGAAATTTCAAATACCTGCGTCGGGTGGCTAAGTCATCTAAATCGGAACCACCCGAATGGAAAGGATCGACCGATCCCCCCCCCCCCCAGAGTTACAACTCTCCAGGTCCGAGGCGGGGAACCTTGCCGTGCGACCGCCTCAACTCTGAGATTTCCGAGGTTTCCAATCCCCTGGGTGGAATTCCCAAATTCTGAACAGAAAATCTGAAATCCCGACGGAAATTCCGAATTCCCGAGCCCCGGTGGGCCGGACCAGGGCGATGAGCCGCCCGATGAGCCCCCCCCCGATGAGTACCCCGATGAGTGCCACCAAACCCTGTAAATTCACAGGGAAACCACCGATGAGCGACCCCCGATGAGCACCCCGATGAGCGATGAGTACCCCGATGAGCCCCCGATGAGCCCCTGCATGGCCCCCGAGGAGCAGGCTGGAGCTGTCTCGATCGGCGCGTGGGCAATCCGCGCCGCCAATTTCAGCTCGCCGCTCTGCGCCGACGCCGCTCCGAGCTGGCCACGAGCCCAGGGTGGTCGATCGCGCAATCGTTCGTTTGTCGTGGGTGGACAGAACCCCCAACAGTGACACGTCGATTAGTGAATTGTCCGTTTTCGGTTCTCGAGAGGGCGCCGTGGCCGTTATTTTCCAGGCTTGCGCCCGCCAGGTTTGGGCCTCAGGTCGTTTTCACTAAACCACGTTTTACTAAAGGGGGTTCTGTCCATCCCCGAGTTTGCGTGTTTTCGTTCGAGAGATGGCGGCAACGCTGCTATGCCGTCACAGCACTTTTGTTGCTAGGTGCGACACTCAGCTGGAGGCGCAGGGGATTGAGCCGCCTGCAGAGCTGAGTGATGCGATATTTGTTGTCGATGTGATGCGCGGAAGCATGCGCTCGTATCGTCGGCAGCGCACTAGCAGAGGGATGGTGTGCTCGCTTTTGCTTCGGTAAAACCAATTAAGGGGGGGAGCATGTATACGCCACGGAACATATGTACGCAGTTTTGGGCCCAAGTTTGATGCGCGGTCGCGCTGAGACGGTGCGCTAGCCATGGCGTCCTCCAAAGAGACCAGGGGCCGAAAACGAACCCGCGATCCTGAACCACCCCCTCTGCCTTGGGACCAGGAATCTGACCCTTCCGACTGCGAGTGTGGCCCAGATCCAGGAGAGATGGATGCTGCTGCTGGAGAGTTCATACACGAATTGGTAGAACTATATTTATTGGGGAAGCCTATGAACGCGCGTCACTTTTGTGTGCTGTGCTACTATGCGAGCAAAGCTGGGATCAAGAAGGCTGGGCAGTTCGCTGTTAACCCCGTGGCGAAAGGACATAACTTCCAACGGAAGCTTGATCGAGAGTTACAGTTAGATCGTTATGATTCGACTCTGTACGAGCTGGATATCCCAGGCCACGGACGAAACGACCCTGACAGATCTTCGATTGGAGTCCACATCTCCCCACCACACGAATCGCTGTATAATGAGATACAAGCCCATCCCGAAATCCTTGAAGACTGGGGGGGGAAGATGGAAACTGAGGCGTGGATCAACGACTATGAAGACAATGCTATTGTACGGGCATCGCCCAGAGAAGACCGAAAGCGCATTTTGCCACTCGCTTTGTATATGGACAAAGTACCATACACAAAACGGGACGGGTTTACTGGGATATACGTCCACCTGCTGCCGACGGGCAGGAGGCATTTAGTCGCCGTCCTGCGCACCGCAGACTTGTGTAATTGCGGGTGTAGCCACTGGTGCAGCATGTATCCTATTTACATTGCAATTGCTTGGAGTTTGCGATCTTTGGTCGATGGGGTATTTCCAGACAAGCGCCACGATGCGATGCCGTGGAGGGACACCGACGCAGAGCGAGCCAGCAAAGCTGGCATGGTGGGGCAGAGGGGAGGGTGTCAATGTGCTTTCTGTGGGTAGGGGGGGGGGTTCGGTGTCTGATGTTGGGCCTCATGAGGCCTACCTAGTGATCAAACGACCTCATTGGTGCTCATGGGGCCTCGTTGGGCGACTTGCGGTGCGCATTAGGACCTCACGCGTGGCTCATTGAGACCCACCTGCTCCCTCCAACCATGTTTCCTACATCCGTCTCACGTTTCCTGCTTCCCTCCTCCCCTCCATCATTCGTCGCCCGTCCAGCTTTCATTTCCTCCTCCATGACCTCCTCCGACACCTCCAATTCTCCAGCTTTGAGGGAGGGTGGGCAGGCGCTGGGATTCCGAGTAGTCGTGGTGGACTTCAAGGCGGACTGGCCCGAGATGTCAACGGGCATGGGCTTTCCAGCCCACGCCTCACATCACGCCCCCTGCATAATGTGCAGGCAGAATCAAGAACAAATCCACAGTCACGACCTATCAGCACCAGTGGAGCAGGTTACCAATGAATCATACGACGACGAATGCACCTCACACGAAATTTGGTGCCTGATCACCGACCAGGAGATGCACCGCGCGATGCGCTTCCGTCTGTGCTGGAAAAAAACAAACAGGGGCCGCGCACTCTACGCCGACCTGCCCGAATACGGCCTACGCAAAGGCGACAGGGTGGAACCGTCGCCGACGTTGCTTGACTCCGCGGATTTCGATCACCTTTCGTTTGATAAAGGGCCAGTGCTTGTCAAGTTCTGGAGACCGACTCCAGGTGCCGAGCGGTGCTACCATCGAAATCCACTTCTGGATCCGGCCCTGGGCACAGGCATGCACACATTTTCTATTGACGAACTACATTGCCTCCACCTCGGCGTGTTCCAGTCGTGGGCGTCCACTGTTGTTTGGCTACTGATAGGCCACAATTTCTTCAAAATACAGGCGACACTACAAGGCGATCGGGTTCGCCTCAGCCTGAAGCGTTTACTTTTAGAGCTTGGGGAGTTTTACTCGAAACAACGCAGCATGGGTGTTCCAGAATCTGCAATCACCAGAGTCGGAGACCTGACTCCAGGCATGATAGGTACCCGCAATGCACCGAGCCTCGGTTTAAAGGCGCACGAAAGCAAGTGGTTTGTGAAATTCTTAGCAGAGTTCCTGCCGACGGTCGCTAGCAGGCTTCCGCCAGAGAGCAATGTGGACACCCTGGTTGCAGCTGGCAACGCACTTGTGAAGTTCACCAACATCATAGACAGCCAGCCCCGAAAGCTCTCTGATGCGGTCTGCTCCGAACTGCAAACGCTGGCTGAGTTACATGTGGGCCTGGCAGAAGCTGCTGGAATCCCAATGCTCCCCAAACATCACATGTTTAGACATCTTGCAGCTCAGTTGTACCGCAAGGGCAACCCGCGCTACTACAATACATATTGGGATGAATCATCAAATGCTGTGATAGCGAACGTGGCCGCAACGACTCATCGAGCACGGTTTGAACGAATGGTATTTCGAAAATATGGTTACCTCTCTACCGAAGGACCGCCGCACCACACCACGGGCGTTTGGTGAAGGGGATGGGTCAGGGATTAGTTGTTCAGTTTCCCTTCCTCCGTCCCCAGCCCCGGTTTCTCGCAGCGAATTTGAGGCTCCATAGCCTGGGAGGGGCGGAGTCGGCCCACGCGGGCCGATACGTAGCAGCTTGCCTCCCGAGGACGCAAAGCTAAGGAGGGTTGCGACACTCTTGTCGCTAGCAAGTCCTGGTGATCGACATGCACCAGCAAGGCAAACTCCTCCCTCTCCTCCTCCTCCCTCCTGTCCTCCCTCCTCTCTCTCTCCCCCCCCCCCCCGCCCCGCACCCCTCAGTACCTCTGGACCGCCCAAGGCGGCCACCTCGGCGTGTCGGATGAGGCGGTGGACCTGGCGCGGTCGATCAAGGAGCGAATTCCTGATGCCAACAAATTCGCCCAATTGCAAGAGGGGATCCGCGTAGTGAACCAGAAGATGCATGAGGTGGTTCGCGACGTCGACCTCCTTGAGGTCGTGCTGGGTTCATCGTTCTTTATCCTCGTCTGTCCTACTCTATACTCCTCATCCCCGTTCATTCTCGCTGTTCCCCCCCACGACCTCCTTTTCACCTCATTCGGTCTGTTCTGGAGCTGGTTCACTATCGGCAGCTTTCAGGGAGCGCGGGTGCGAGACGAGAGAGTTCGACAGGGGCACCAGAGACAAGAGCGAGGACTCGCACCCCCACGCCCCTCTTTGTTCTCAATGCACCCTTCACCAGCCTGAATCTAGCTTGAATTCAGAGGACCTCGCAACCTTGGAGGGTCAGATCCACATCGGGCTGTTGCTCCTCCGCGTCAAACCCTTCGGCCTTCTCTGGATCGCGGTGGTGAGTGAGAACTGCAAGTATGAAAGGCCCACCTCCACACATCGATAATGCCCAACCTCATTCCGAGGAAGGCGGTGTGAGGAAGTGAGGGCCCCTCTGCTTTCAGTTATCACGTTACCATCCCAACAGTTGGATTGCAGCACGTGGCTTGGTTTTACGTCGTCGTACACCTACGGCAGGCTCCGCGAGAACATTTTCGGATATGGGGACAAGGAGAAGGTGGAGGAAGCAAACCTGAGCGCCCATCTGTCCTCGTATCTCATCGGCCTTGCCACGATTCGGAAAGTTTGGTTTGCGATGGAGAAGCCCGTGCAGTCGAGACTGTTTCAATACCCATCCCTTGACCAAGCTCTCGAGACCACGGGATCCAAGCAATTGCTGACCTACTTGGGCGCTTTCCCTGCGAACGCAAAAATCCCCAAAGGAATCCACCTGGCAACGACACTTCCGAAGACTACATGGAATGATATCGTGAGGCGGAAACCTGTGCTGACTGTTTCGGAAACTGAGAAACGCCAATACCACTACGAGACGAAAGATGGATGGGTTTGCTCTGGAAAGGACTGTAAGGATAAAACGGGTTCCTCGTTCTGTTATAAAGTGAGAGGGGTCTGATTTGGGGGTGGCTCTATTTCGGGCTATCTTGGAGGGCCGAGGGGGGGGTTGGAGAGGTTCTCCCACGGGGGATCAGAAAGTCTGGGAAAGTTCAGACCCCTATCTCTTTATTGCGGAATTCGGCAGGGAAGGCAGGGGCTTGTTGATCCTCTCGACAGAAACTCGCGTCGACTGAGCACTACCCTATCGAGTTCGGCTACGCAGTGCACGCGGCGTGGGCAGCAGCCAATGATGATAATGATATGCGGCGGCAGGCAATCGGCAACACCCCAACATACTTATACTATATGTGCGTCGCCCCCCCAGGGGCGACGCGCGCGCCGAGAAATCTTATAGTATATGCGTCGTGGCGGGCGCTTTCTGGCCACACCGCTCGGGAAACGATATACTACAAGATGGGTGTACTATATGTTCGGGTCGGACGCGCGCCTCCAAGGAGGACATATAGTACTAGTATGTCCACGTGCGTCCCAGGCAAATGGGAAGAAGAGGAGGATCACCAGGAAAAGCCGGAAGGACAGCTACGGCGGCGTCACCCTGCTGCGCTGGGCGAAACCTGTTTGCTAGGACTGGTGAGAGTGAGGCCGAGCAATTGATAATTCAACTTGAGCGCCTCCTCCTCATCTTCCTCATCCTTCCTGTTTTCTCCTGGAATGTGGCTCATTGGGTGGGTCTGGTGGCTCATTGGACGAGTCCGGTGGCTCATTGGGGGGTCGGGTCTGGTGGCCAATTCTTTGGGGGGCGAGGTGTAGCTCTGACCTCGGTCAGCCATCACCCAGGAGAAATCACGAAGGAAATAAGGAGGAAGCGCGCTTCGTTCGAAGCTACGCGTGTAAGACGCGTGCGCAGAAAGCGGGCGAAGAATGACCTCCGCCCCGCAGTCGTCTCCCCCCAGCCGCCCTCCCTCTCTTCCAAGGGTCCTCCAGGGAGAGGGGCATCCAGGGGCCCTCCAGGGAGAGGGGCTTCCAAGGGTCCTCCAGGGAGAGGGGCTTCCAGAAGAGGAGGAGGAGGAGAAGGAGGCGGAAGGAGGAGGAGGAGGAGGAGGGCAAGGAGGAGGAGGAGGGGGAGGGAGGAGGAGGGAGGAGGCGGAGGAGGAGGGAGGAGGCGGAGGAGGAGGAGGAGGAGGAGGAGGAGGAGGAGGAGGGAGGGAGGAGGTGGTGATGGCGAGGCTGTCGTCCGTGGAGGAACCCCCCCTACGCCCAGCGTCATTATGGCTCGGATGAAGCATTCAGCGACGCGCGGGGGGCAATGTCTTCGTGGCCCCTGCGGCGCGCGGTCATCTTGCTGAGCCACTCTGAAGCTGTGAGAGGTCCCAACTCATTCAATTGCCTTATCCCCTCTCTCCCTCCTCCTGCAAAGAGGTCGGCGGACGAGCGCGAGGAGAGAAGGAAGCGGAGCTCAGAGGCGGCATGCAGGCAGTGAGGCAGCGAGGAACTCAGGAGAACAGGATCAAGATCTGGGCAAACGAATATACGCTTTGGCGAAACGTATCGTAGAGGACGGAAAGGAAGAGAGCGAGCTCAAGGAAGAGGAAGCTGAAGACCGATATGTTTTGGCGAGAAAGATGTTAGAGAAGCGAAAAAGAGAGAGAGAGAGAGAAAGAGGAAGCTGAAGATCAAAACTGCAGACTGATCAGAGAGCGCACGGCGATGATGAAGGAGGAGCTGGCATCGGAACACATGGAAGCAGTCGGTCGCAAGGTTCCCTCAAGCTCAACATCTATGCCATGCGAAGTCTCAGTTCCAACTCCAGTTCCAAATTCAGCTCCAACGCAATTACTTTCACCGACTTCGCCCGCCTGTAGGACTGTGCAGGAGAGCCCGACAGGAGAACCCAGGACAGAGGAGAGCTGCGGGCCTCCGCCGCAGAGCCCGATAGAGATCCCCTTGGAGGAGGAAGCCGAGATCCCGAGCGATGACGCGATCGTGACAGTCTATAAAGAAGGCGGGGAAAGGAAGATCTTACTTGACAGGATGAGCAAGTTGAGGGAGAGGGAATATCGTCAAAGCCAGAGGAGACCTGGAGCGCGAGGAGAGGGAGAGGCGCGAGGAGAGGCAGCGGCGCGAGGAGAGGCAGACGAGGCGACAGGAGAAGAACGACACAGCAGACCTGAAAAGAGCCGACGCCCGAGGAGACCTGAAGACAAAAAAGAGCTCGAGGAGAAAGAGCCCAAGGAGAAAGAGCTCGAGGAGAGAAGCACGATCTCGAGGAGAGAAGAACGAGCTCGAGAAGAACGCGCCCGAGGACAGAGGGAAGATCGTCAAAGCCAGAGGAGACCTGGAGCGCGAGGAGAGGGAGAGGCGCGAGGAGAGGCAGCGGCGCGAGGAGAGGCAGACGAGGCGACAGGAGAAGAACGACAACGCAGACCTGAAAAGAGCCGACGCCCGAGGAGACCTGAAGACAAAAAGGAGCTCCAGGAGGAAGAGCTGAAGGAGAAAGAGCTCGAGGAGAGAAGAAAGATCAGGAGGTATTTCCAAAGAGCTCGAGAAGAAAGCGCTCGAGGACAGAGGAAAGAGCTCGAGGGGAAAGAGCCCGAGGAGAAAAAGCCCGAGGAGAGAAGCAAGATCTCGAGGAGAGAAGAAAGAGTTCGAGAAGAAAGCGCTCGAGGACAGAAGGGAGAGCTCGAGGAGAAAGAAAAAAAAACACGAGGAGAGAAGAAAGAGCTCGAGGAAACAGAGCTCGCGGAGAGAAGAAAGAGCTCGAGAAGAACACGCTCGAGAAGAAAGAACAAAGAGCACGAGGAGAGAAGAAAAAGCTCGGGGAGAAAGAGCTCAAGGAGAGAAGAAAGAGCTCGAGAAGAAATGGCGCGAGGAGAGAAGAAAGAGCTCGAGGAGACAAGGAGGCCCACGGAGAGACACGGCAAAGAGACGCCCCTTGCCGACGAGATCGATGGGGGCACCCAGGACAGGACAGGAGAACCCAGGACAAAGGATGAGAGCTGTGGGGTTCCGCCACAGAGCCCGACATCTATGCCTAAGCCAGGGCCAGGCGAACGTTCTCAGGAACCACTTCCAGTTCCATTTCCAGTCCCAACTTCTCCTCTGTCAGCTCCAACGCAAATACCTACACCGACTTCGCCCGCGAGCCCGTTAGAATTCCCCTTGGATCCCGAGGAGGAAGCCGAGGTCGCCAGCAGCGATGACGTGGTCATGACAGTAAGGAAACTCTTAATTGACAAGATGAGCAAGTTGAGGGAGAGTGAATATCGTCAAAGCCAGAGGAGACCTGGAGCGCGAGGAGAGGGAGAGGCGCGAGGAGAGGCAGCGGCGCGAGGAGAGGCAGACGAGGCGACAGGAGAAGAACGACGCAGCAGACCTGAAAAGAGCCGACGCCCGAGGAGACCTGAAGACAAAAAAGAGCTCGAGGAGAAAGAGCCCAAGGAGAAAGAGCTCGAGGAGAGAAGCACGATCTCGAGGAGAGAAGAACGAGCTCGAGAAGACAGCGCCCGAGGACAGAAGGAAGAGCTCGAGGAGAAAGAAAAAAGAGCACGAGGAGAGAAGAAAGGGCTCGAGGAAAAAGAGCTCGAGGAGAGAAAACAGAGCTCGAGAAGAAAGCGCTCGAGAAGAAAGAACAAAGAGCACGAGGAGAGAAGAAAGAGCTCGAGGAGAAAGAGCACGAGGAGAGAAGAAAGAGCTCGAGAAGAAATGGCGCGAGGAGAGAAGAAAGAGCTCGAAGGCGGCAGAGGAAGGATCGACGATGGGAGCACGACGGAGTGCGACCAAAGCACTGAGCCCGCAAGGAGCGCAGGCGGCTGCGCGCGCGGAGACGGTGAGCGCGCTGCCGCGTGATAGATCATCATCCGTTTCATTGTCTGGGGAGGTTGGGAAGCAGGGGGAGGATGAGGAGGAGGAGGGGGAGGGTGAGGAGGAGGAAGAGGATGAGGAGGAGAAGGAGGATGAGGAGGAGGAGGACGAGGAGGAGGAGGAGGATGAGGAGGAGGATGCGGAGGAGGGGGATGAGGAGGAGGATGCGGAGGAGGAGGAGGAGTAGGAGGAGAATGAGGATGGGGAGGAAGAGGAGGAGAAGGACGAGCAGGAAGGAACACGTTTGGGCACTTCAGTTTTGTGATTTTGAGTTGTGCACACATGCGCATCCCGAAAATACTGGGTCTCGCATCGCACAACATGTTCTGTGATGTACATACAACATATGACGCATTATTTGCATATGTATATACATATGGCACGTATCAGTGTATTGGACGCATGCAACACACGTTACAGGAGGAGGGGGACGAGAAGGAGGAGGAGGAGGACGACGACGAGAGGGAGGAGGAGGAGGAGGATGAGGAGGAGGAGGAGGAGGATGAGGAGGAGGAGGAGGAGGATGAGGAGGAGGAGGAGTAGGAGGAGGAGTAGGAGGAAGAGGAGGAGAAGGACGAGCAGGAAAGAACATGTTTGGGCACTTCAGTTTTGTGATTTTGAGTTGTGCACGCATGCGCATCCCGAAAAGTCTCGCATCGCACAACATGTTCTGTGTGATGTACATACAACATATGACGCATTATTTGTATATGTATATACATTTGGTACGTATCAGTGTAATGGCCGCATGCAACACACGTTACAGGCATTACATGGTACATACATGCATGCAAAACCATACTTGAGCACATGACAACGCAAATTTGCGACAACACGTTTTGCAAACAATAGATCAATCAAAACTGCGACATCGAGCTTTTCGATCATGATTACAACAAATCTGCGTAACCATGTTAAAACTGCGACGGGAGTTTTTTCCTCAATTTGAGTGAGGAATTGAAGCCCTGGGCGGGCCAGCGCCCGGGCCGGTTCCGGCGCCGGCCGGCGCCGGAAAATTGAATTCCGAGGCGGTGCCGAAAAAAGGCCACTCCAAGACATATTTTTCTTTCGAAAATATTGATTTTCTGCTCCCGGCGCCCGAGAACCCCTTCCGGGCCGCTTCCGGCACCCGGGCCGGCGCTCGAGCCAAACGCCCGGGCCAGCACCCGGGCCAGCGCCCGGGCCGGTTCCGGCGCCGGCCGGCGCCGGAAAATTGAATTCCGAGGCGGTGCCGAAAAAAGGCCACTCCAAGACATATTTTTCTTTCGAAAATATTGATTTTCTGCTCCCGGCGCCCTGGAACCCCTTCCGGGCCGATTCCGGCACCCAGGCCGGCGCTCGAACCGAACGCCCGGGCCGGCACCTGGGCTGGCGGCGGAGCCGGATCCAGCGCTGGCGTCGGCTCTGGCCGTCGCCGGAAAAATTGAATTCCGAGGCCGCGCTAACAAAACTCATCCAAACAGATTTTTCGAAAGTGCATCATTTCTGCTCCCGGCGCTCGGAGGCTTCTGCGTCTCAAGGAGAGGTGGAGCAGACATTAAAGGAGGTAAAAGCAAGCACACGAACGCTATGGACGCGCGATGCGCTGCCACAAGCCAGCTTCCCGCAAGATCGGTCCAGAGTGGGAGGGGGCGGAGCAGCCCTGGGTCTGCTGACCACACAGGAGCACGGCAGACCACACAGGAGCGCGGCAAACCACAAAGGAGCAAGGCAGACCCCAAATGAGCACGGCAGTCCACACGTTCGCACGGCAGACCGCACAGGAGCACGGCAGACCGCACATGAGCACGGCAGACCAAGAAGGAGCACGGCAGACCACACAGGAGCACGGCAGACCACACAGGAGCACGGCAGACCACACAGGTCACGGCAGACCCCACGGGAGCAGGGCAGACCACACAGGAGCACGGCAAACCACACAAGAGCACGGCAGACCATACAGGAGCACGCCAGACCACACAAGAGCA